ATTTTCTGGGGATGATGTCGGGGGGCATGTGCCGCTGCAGGAGATTTTGGCGCGGATTGAGGGGTAGAGGGGGGAGATGGAGCGCGGGCGAAAGAGAAACCAGAAAAGGCAAGGACGTTTTGAAAGGGCTAGGATGAAGAGCTGCAGGTGGACACGGTCCTGGTGCTTCAGGGATGGGGTGCCGTCTATGTGGTCGATATCCGTTGCTATGGGTGCCGCCCTCGGAGAGCGGTCTGGAGTGTGTCGGTGGCTGCGCAGTGGCTGCAAAAGAGGCACACGGGCACCACGTACGTCGCATGGATCGCGTACACTTGTCCCGCGCCGCGGGCTTTTGCGCGCGGATGCACGACGCTGGGATCTGGTCCATGTTGGCCCGCCACCGAGGGCAGCGTTTCGTCTCCCTTCTGCACCAACCGCCCGTCTTTTCCCGCGTTGCTTCTCTCCCCCTGCTCCCTCTTGGTCCGCGTTTCTTCTGCCCCCATGCCTCTCATGGTTCGCAACCTCCCTAGTCGACCGCCTTGATCGGGTGCAGCATGGAGGGTGCGCGGCACACATCCTCCTGGTTCTTCCACCCCATGTAGATCTCCTTCGCATGCTGTGCATGGTAGTAGAACGAAGAGTCGCGGTGGAGGTTTTCGTTTTTCTTCTTGTAAAAGTCCGGACGGTTGAGCAGACGGTGCAGAATCGACGGGTCCCACTCGTGGCGGAAGTAGATCGGGTGGGGCGCAAAGACGCCCTTAAAGGGGAGCGGGAGGCTGTAGGTGAACCCGGCGGAAGGGTAGAAAGAGTGGTGTTCGGAGCGCTCCATCTGCGAGTGGAGCACTAGCGTGGTGGGCCACGCCTCGCAGTGGAGCGACTTCTTTGCCTCCGCATTCACCACGTTCATCGCCTCGAGCAGGCCGCGGCTCATGCGCATGTTCGTCCCGATCGACGCGCGCCGGTCTGTGTCCCAGCCGAGCGGGTAGTTCTGCACGTCGTGCGTCCAGTACCAGCCGGAGCCACGTGGGTCAAAGATGGGGCCGAGCGTGATGAGGTCCGCCTCCTCGCCGATGCCCGCGACTTCCGTGCTGGCGCCGCGCCAGTTCGTCTCCGAGTCGGTCACGTTCCGCACAAACCATGTCTCGTACTTGTCCATGCCCGGGATGAGCGGCTCGCGCCGCGCGTACTCTGCGGGTGAGCGGCGGCGGCGGCAGCGGCGACGCACGCTCGATACCCTCGAGAAAATCAAGGTAGTTCCCGGTGTATCGCACGTCCATCTCCCAGTTGTACACGTAGTCGTACTCCTGGTGGTCGAGCCAGAACTTCTGCAGCGCCATGAGGCACGCCCGGTACGAGCTGCGGTCAGCGCGCGCGCGGTTCCACGTACGTCTGCGCGATCATGTTGTTGATAAACTTGCCCGGGAGCCCCGCGTACAGCACCTCGAGCTCCTTCTCGTTCCAGAACTCGACGAGCCCCCAGAACTCGCGCGGCACGCTCGTCACAAGCACGCGGTACCGGTCCCACTCGGAGGTGAACACGGACAGGTTCGGGTCCTTTACCTCGACGAGGATGCGGATGTCGTACGGCGTGTTTGGGTTGTTCAGCGACAGCTCGCTGATGAGTGCGCGCAGGTTCAGGATGTCGTCCTCGCGCCACGGGTACCCCTGGTACGACCGCATCACGAGCGCCGTGCGCTTGTGCGATGGGTTCGTCCGGTAGTACTGCACGCTCACTTCGTCCACGAGCACGTGGCTTCCGCCCTCGCTCGGGCGCGGCGCCGCGTGGCTCGCTCCCGCGGACGCGTTGCCCTCGCGCTCGGTGAGCCGCTGCCGGTAGCACCCGTCCATGAGCGCGCGCCAGTCGGGCACGAACACGGTGTTCTTGTCGCGCGAGTTGTGAGTGGAGAGCACCATGCGCAGCTGTTCCTCCCACTGCCACCGGTCCATGTCTGCGGGCTTCCGCAGCCCGTGCAGCGGGTCGTATCCGACGCGGCGGCGCGCCTCCTCCAGCGCCGCGGCGTCCGCGGTGCGGTTGCGCATCGGCACCGCGGCCGCCGCGCCATCGCCGTGCGCCGCAGCCGCGAGCGCGTCGGGGAGCAGCTCGTCGGGGAGCCGGTAGGTGATGTTCAGCGCCTCGTCCGTGTACATGCTGTAGCGCGCCCGGTACGTCATGCACTGCCCGCCGTCCAGGCCGATCATCTGGTAGTCGCCGACGAGGGGCGCTGGATGCGTCGGCGGCGTCGGATGTGCGGCCGCGGGGCTCAGCGGCACCGCGCGGCCGCCGGGGCCCGCACACTGGTTCAGCTTCGGCGGGATGATGGGGTGCGTCGGGCGCACGTCGACCCGCTGTCCGAGCGCGTCCACGGGCACGCGCACGTCTGGGTCGACGCGGTAGTAAGCCAGCTCGCGCCACTCCGGGCGCCCGAGATTAAACAAGAACAGGGCCGCCGCAATGCCCGCGAGGACGACGAGGGCGATCGCCTTCCACCGCTGCAGGAGGAAGTACACAAAGTGCAGCGCGATCCCCAGGACACCCGCATGCACACTGCCGCGCGCGTACCCGCGCGTGCCCGCGTCCGGCACACCCAGGAACGGCTCTGAGGCGTCCAGTGGGTGCCTCGCATCGTCGTCGCCCTCCGTCGGCGACATGGACTCGTGCGGGCGGAAGTGGTATCGCTGCGACAGTGTGCCCTGCGCGGCCCATGCATCGCTGCTGCCCACGGGCACAGACACCGGCATGTCAGACGAGTCGCGCTGCATCCTTGTGCTCCGATCCGCGCCCGCCGAGCCGCCCTGCACTTTGCCGAGGGATGTCGGCGTCTGTGGCCCAGGGTCTTGGCCAGAGCCGCTTCTCTCGGCCGAAATGACCGTCCACGTGGCTGAGCTGCGTTGCGCCACGCGGTTCGTGCTGCGGACAGGCAGCTATGTAGGCATCTCGGATTAGAATGGAGCGACCAGAAAAGAGGGGCAAAAAGAATGTGTGGGGGCTGTACGTGGGCCGCCACGTGTGTGCGCGCCTGCTACGCGTACGCCACGTGTGCGCACACGACGCGTCTACTCACGCGCGCGGCGGCGGCGATGCTGCTGCGTGGCGCGCAGCTGCTCCGCGGCGTCGGACGCGTCGCGGTCAAAGTCGTCCGCGGGCGCGGCGCGCGTCCTACGGCGGCGGCGCCGTGGCGGGCGCGGCATGCCGCTGTTTTGGTCCGCCGGCGGCGCGTCGTACGCAGACGCAGATACGCCCGGCCGCGCGCGTGTACGTGTGTGCGGCTCCGGCGCGTAGGCGGCCTCGCTGTCGTATGGGTCCGCGTCCACAGGCGCGTCCGCGTCGTCCTCGGACGCGTACGCGTTCCGCGACGCGTACGAACGGCGCCGGGATGCGGGTTGGCTCCGGTGGCCGCCGCTCCGCCGCTTCCGGTCCGCGTGCATCTCCCCGGAGCTCAGCGAAAGGTCCGAGGATGCGCGGCGTATGCCGGTGTACTGCACAATCTCATCCGAGGCCGGCTCGGATGGCGCGTCCCAGTGCGACGCGGAGCCGACGCCCGCAGTGCGGTACGGGTCGGTGCCGTAGTCGGAAATCGGATCGATGTCGGCCGTGTACCAGTCGTTGTCGCGCATGCTCCGTGCGGCACTGCGGCGCGACACGCCGCTGCGCCGTCCACGGCGGCGCTCATGCCGATCGCGCGGCACACGCGCCTCGTCCTCGTCCGCGTGCACGCCGGGCGCCAATGCGCCGGGCACCGCGAGCTCGTTCGTGGCCGCCGGGGGCGCCGTGGAGCCCGGTGCGGGCGCGGGGGGCTCGTCGTACTGGAATGCTTCGGGGCTGCCCCCGTAGTACACCGGCGGGGTGACCGGCGGCATGTGGCCCGCCGCGTACGGGTTGTAGGTGTCCTGTGGGTACGGCGACGCCATGTTCTGGTAGTACGGGTCTCCGTCGCCCATCGACATGGGGGCGCCGCCGCCTCCGGCCATGGGCATCGGCACGGGCGGCTGCGCGTCGCGCGATTCAGAGCCCCTGCTCCAGCGCGCGATGAGCCATGCGATAAGACCGACGAGCAAGAGCCCCACTGCGGAGCCGACGGCAATCCCGACAATCGCGCCCGTGCTGAGCCCGGAGGATGACGAGCTGTTTCCCCAGTCCGCGCCTGCACCATTGTTCGCACCCGCACCGCTGCCCGCGCCCGCGCTGCTGCTCGCGCCCGCGCTGCTGCCCGCGCCCGCGCTTGGATCCATGAGCGAGCTCGAAGAGCTGGGCGGCGCGGAGCCGGGCATAATCGTCGACATGGCACTGTCCGAATTCATGCTGGACGGCGCCTGCGCGGTGAGTGGGGTCCGCCGCGGCACACGTACACTCGAGGACGACGACCGCTGCGAGGAGGACGACCGCCGTGAGGAGGAGGACGACGTTTGCTGAGACCCGCCACCCTGGCCGCCGCCATAAGAGAACGTCTGCTGCGAGTTGCGCCGCGTCGACGAGGACGAGCGCGACCGCGGCGGATGCATGGTGATCGTATTCGTGTCCGCGCCAGGCGTGAACACGGAGAAGGGATTGTAGCCTGGCACATTAGCAGCCACCCGCGCCGGTGTGCTTACCCTGGCGGCGCGCGAGCGGCGTAGGCTGCGGCGCGCGGCGCTTGTGCACCACGCGGCCGGGACTGTCCGCGCTCAATACCGACATGGCGGGCGCGCTTCGGAACGACGGTATGGCGGAGGGAGGGGCAGATGGACGCCTCGCACACGCGGACTGTGGCGAACACCCCAGCACGCACCGACGGCCAACGAAAGCCAACGCGTTTAAGCGCCGCCGGCATGCACAGTGCGGCGCGCGTCTTATGCACGTGTTCAAGCATGTGCATGCGCGTAAATCCCCTATGGGGGGTGCGCCTTGCGGACCCGCCACGCGCGCGCCTCCGCTGGACCCCTCCTCTGCGTTCCCCCCCCGGCCGAGCCCCCGCCGGCCGACGCGTCCGCGTCCGCACCCACCCCACTGATAACAGCACATGCGCTCTTACTTCTGCTTTTCTTCTCCCGTCGTCTAGTTGGTTTATGACACGGTGCTTATAGAGGTACTTGCACACTGCCCCTGTGAACGGCCCGCTTTACTGCGGAGAGAAACGCCGTTGTCCGGGGTTCGAGTCCCCGCGGGAGAAAAACATTTTTTGGCGACGAATTTTTTCGTCGGCCGACCGCGCACGTTCGCGGCGACCACGACTCATGGACGCAGCCATGGCCGTCTTCGCCCGGCTCGGCACGCCGGCGCGCACTGCGGGCGCGGTGCTCGCGCTGTGGGTCGGCTCCTGGAGCATGTACTATGTGGCACAGGAGTCGTTCCGGTGTCTCGAGCTGCGCCGCCGCGCGGCGCGGCACCGCCTGCGCCTGCGGCGCGAGTCGCCCGACGCCTGGCATGGGAACGCGAGGGGGAAGGAGCGCGTCGACATCGTCGCGCGCTTCCGCTCGCTGCGCTTCTGCGGACGCTACCTGAACGTGGCGCCCGAGTGGCGCGAGCAGGGCGCGTGGGAGTGGATGTGGTGGAAGCTCGTCCACTCGGCGCTCTGGCACGGCCGCCTCGGCTGGGACGGCGGCGTGGCGACGGACCAGCAGACCGCGGCCGGCCGCGCGCACATCGAGCAGCTGCTTCCTGTGCACGCGCTCGACACGGCGCAGCTATGGGGCGCGGTGCCCGGCGCACCGCGCGCGCCGCGGCGCGGCCTCTCGCATACATGGATCGGGCAGAGCACGTGCCTCGTCCAGCTGCACGGCGTGAATGTGCTCACGGACCCGGTGTTCGGCGAGCAGCCCATCGCGAGCGTCGTGAGTCCGTGGCGCATCCGGCCGATGCCGTGCACGCTGCAGGAGCTCCTGGCGCACGGCCGCGTGGACGTCATCCTCGTCTCGCACAAGTGCGTACGCGCGTGGCGCCGCTCATGCCAGCCACTTTGACCACCTCGACGTGGCGATCATCCCACACATCCCGCGCGGCACGCGCTGGGTCGTCCCGCGCGGCGTCGGCGCGCTGCTTGCGCGGCACGGCGTCGCGTGCGCGCAGGTCACCGAGCTTGACTGGTGGGACGAGGCGTCCCTGCAGCTGCACGTCCCCGTGCGCGACGGCAGCACGGGCGCCACCGCCGCCCGCACGCTCGACATCGCCGCTGTGCCCGCGAGCCACTGGAGCGCGCGCAACCTGCTCGACACGAACCTCTCGCTGTGGAACTCGTACGCACTGCGCTGCGCGGCCGACGACGGTGCGGCGCCCGCCAAGTTCTTCTTCTGCGGCGATTCGGGGTACTCCCCGCTGCTCTTCTCGTCCATCGGCCGCATGTATGGGCCCTTCCATCTCGCCACGATCCCGATCGGCTCGTACGAGCCGCGCTGGCACCTCAGCCTGCAGCACATGGACCCGCTCGGCGCGGTCCGCGTCGCGCTTGACGTCGGCGCAAAGCAGGCGTTTGCGATGCACTGGGGCACCTGGTGCATGAGCGGTGCGTGCGGGTCCTGGCGCACTGACCGCAGACGAGCGCTGGGACGACGCGCCGCGGGACCTCGAGGACGCGCGCAAACGCGAGTGTGTGCCGCCCGCGCAACTGTGCACGGTCCCATTTGGTACGACGCAGATCGTCGCGGGGGAGGGCTGGTGATGGGTGTTGGTGCGTGCGTCTGTGTACATGTCTTCTGGGGAGTGTCGCATGCCGGACGAGGCTGCGGCGCAGAACGCGTCGCCACAGCTCAGATAGGCGTGTGGCGGCGCGCAGCAATGAACACGGTGAACAGGCCGCGTCGCGCGCGGTGTGCCGTGGTCATTCCGCACACCGCTTTTTCTGCCTCGGCACGTAGGAGGGGGGGCAAGTGGCGGCGTGCACCCCCACATCACGCGGGAGGACGTGCGGGGCAGCGAATGCCGCCCGCTGCGGGAAACGCGGTGCGTATGGGATGTATGGGGGCGGTGGGGGAGTGGGCGCCGGGTCAGGCTGAGAGAACGGCCCGCAGGCGGCGGTGCCTGTCACGAGGACGCGACCGCGGTAGCCCGGCCAGTCTGTGTGCGGACGGGCAGCGTCGCGGCAGAGGGACTGCCATGACGTGACTCCTTTTCCCGTCGACACGGCAGAGGGACTGCCACGGGGTGACTCCCTTTGCCGCCGACAATGCACGTGACCATGACGCTTCGCAGAAGGGATGGCGTGCGATGCGCTCGGTTGCGCACGCGCCCGCCGGGTGGCCGGAGAGGTGCGCCAAAGGGGACCGTAGAGAACCTGGTCCCGTGGGCAATGCCGTTCAGCAGGACGGCTCGTCGTGGAGCCGCTGGTCCCGTAGGGTCACTTGTCTCGTGGGACCATACCGTAGGGCCGCTGGTCCCAAAGAGCTCCTGGCCCCTCGCCCCTGGACCCCGTTCTCCACCGCATGATCCCCTCTCCATTTCACTCCCTCCCACCACGCCTCTCCCCCCCTTCGTCCCCCCTCCCCTCAGACCACCAACGCACTGCCAGCAGCCTTCAAATCAAAGGGAGCACCCTTCAACTTCGTCCCCTGGTCAAAGGCAAGCACACGGGAGAGATTGCGCGCGAGGGAATCCTCCTTCTTCACCTGGTATATGCGGACGAGCCAGTTCTCACTGGTAAACACCTCGTCGAGCGTGTCCAGCGTGGGCGACTTGCTGGGACCGGGCATACCGCGCGCGCGGTCCATGCCCGCGCCGCCGTTCCAGAGATCCGGGTACCGGTAGAAGCTCATCTTGTACATGAGAGAGTCGCGCATCGCAGGCGCGGCTTGGTCGTCGACGCGGTACTCGCCGGTGCGCGTGAAGTAGGAGGCCTCGTTGATCTCCTCGGGCCAGATACCCTCCGAGATGCGGATCATCCAGAGGAACTTGTTCAGGTCGTCGCCGCTGAAGCCGATGAGCCCGCCAAACATGATGAGCACGTAGTCGACGTCGTGCTTGCGCAGGATCGGGTACGCCTTCTCCTCGGTCGTCGCCATCGCGCGGCCGACGGTGGCAATGTGCGTGTTGTTCCACGTGTTGTTGTCGACGAGCGTCGAGCGGTCCGCAAAGCCGGCGATCTGGTACCCGTAGTCCCACCAGCTCATCACCTTCGCGTCCTGCGCCGTGTTCTCGCGCAGCCAGTAGTACGCCTCGCGGAAGTCGTCGATGATCAGCTGCGAGCCATCCCCGCGCACGGACGAGAGCACGACAGAGGGGGACGAGTATGCGGTGGACGTGATGTGCGTGGAGTGGATCACGAACGCGACGAGCATCAGCAGCGTCACCGCGAGCACCATCACCGAGACGCCCGCGTCGTGGACGCGCCGGGTGAGCGGGCGGGCACGGGTGCCGCCCGCGTGCTCTGCGTCGCCCGCGCCGTCGGCACCGCCCGCGTCCCGCGCACCTTTGCCGCGCGCGCGCGGCGCCGGCGCATCCGCGCCCGGGGCCGCGGGGGCAAACAGCCCCGCGTACGTGTCCAGCAGCGTGCTCACGGCGACCGCGGCACACACACACACACACGGCGTGAGCGTAAGCATGAGGCGGACCATGACGCCGGAGAAATACGCGCCCATCACCGCGTAGATAATCACAAAGACGTGGTCGTCGCGCAGGTCGCGGAACAGGTAGAAGACGCCGACGGGGAACAGGAACACGAGCATGTGCAGGTCCGAGAAGTACGCGGTCCACGCGGGTGGCTGGTGCTCCGAGACGGAGGCGATGATCGGGATGTGCTTCTTCGCGTAGCCCGTGTCCCACAGGGAGTAGAAACGGCCGGTCCACGGGGCGATGTACCCCGCGTACGTGAGCGCGACGAGCGCAACGAACGCAAGCAGCGCGGCGCCCGCAGCGAGCGCGCGCACAAACACCCGCAGCTGCGCGGAGGACACATACGCGCGCATGAGCTCCGCGAGCGCAACCAGCTGCAGCAGACCGAACACGCCGAGCGCAGCCATGTGCTCGCTCGTGCGCACCGGCTGGAAGCCGACAAAGGGGATCTGCATGCTCGCGAGCGTGCCGATCACGTAGAACGACGAGTACGCGACGTACAGGCGGCCCGAGAAGCGGCCCATGAGCACGAGGACAAATGCGTGGAGCGGGATCATGTTCGTGATGAACACGTAGCCGCCCCACGCGGCGACCATGTAGAAGTAGAAGAGCGCGGTGAGCACGCCATACAGGATCGAGCCGCGCTTCACCGCGGTGATCCAGAGGTAGAACGTAAAGAGGAGCAGGAAGATGGCAATCGCCTCGTTGTCGTACGAGCCCGCGACGGAGCGCGAGATGTAGCCCGGCGCGATGCCGACGAACACGGCGGCGAGCAGGCCGGCGCCCGCGTCCCGGAGCGACGCGGTAAACAGGTACGCGGCGACCGCGGTGAAGCCCGCGAAGAGTGGCGCGAGCATCACGCAGATGTCCCGGATGTTCACGGGGATGTTGAAGAAGTGCAGCACGTTGTACAGCGTGCCACTCGTCACCATGAGGCCCGGGAACACGGTCCCGCCCGCCGCGCGCCCCAGCGGGTACCACGCGGTCGGGTCGAACCAGTTCCAGAACCGGTAGTACCCGTCCTCCGTGAGCACCTTGGTCGCGCGGAAGTTGAACCACGGGTCGAACTCGTGGATGATCGACTCGTACCGCACGACCGCAAACAGACGCGCGGCGACCGCCATGCCCACAATAAGCACCATCGCCACCGTGTGCACGAGGGAAAGCACGTTCTGCTGCGTGTCGGCGGGCGCGCGCGCGCGCGCCGCACCGCTGCTCATCGTCGCGCGGCCACTCATCGTCCGCGGCAACCGCGCCCTGCCCGCCGCTCGCGCCCGCACGTGCGTCACGTGCGCATACCTCCCGGACACGTGGCGCGCTGCGCCGCGCGCGGCGCCAACGCCGCGCCGCAGCAACCTGCGCCCGCCGCACGTCCGCCCGGCATGACGCTCCAGTACCAGGCCGCGCGCGTGTACACGCTGCCTGTCCACGGCGGGAGCGTCTGGGACGCCGTGTACGTGACGCCCGCGCTCGCCGATGCGCTCCTCGGCGGCCGCGTCGCGGATGCGCCGTTCGCTGTCGTCGTCGCGCGCCTCGGCGGCCGCGGCCGCGACCGCGCGCTGAGCGCGCAGGGGGTGCTCCTGTGGGCGCACGTCGCGGACCCGGCGATGGAGGAGAGCGTGCAGCTGC